GAGGGGTCTTGAGTGTCTATAGAGAGAATTGGACAAAACAGCTGGTATTAAAGGAAATGTCAGGCTGACTCCAACTTGCAGGTGGCATTCATTATTATTTAAGCAAAATTATGCCTCCGCTTCATTCTCAGGCGATGTTATTCTCACTCTTTTGTTATGTAGTTATTTTATTGAACATTTACAATATGCCAGATAATATTATAAATTTATTGATATATCACTCAGAAAACTAGAAAAATTCCCTACTGAGGTTAGAAGGCAAGAAACAAATACAAAACTATATTATATAGATAACTCTAAAATCTGGTTTTTGTTTGCTTTCTATAGGTTCAAAATTTCATCAAAAGGAAGATCAAGGTGCTCTAGAATGACTTGTCATGAGACTATACACAGTGTAGGATCATAATAAAGCTATTTGTTATTGTTGCCTTTTGAGCTGTTAGCATGACCAGGCCCAAGTCTGTTGCTTGCAGATCCATAGAACAATGTAACTGAAACATTGTTCTTTCGAGGCATTTTCTTCAGGACGTAATATTTATTTATTTTGAGCTCTAATTGACTATTAACTAATTCATGGCTCGGGCAGCATTCCATCTCAGAGCTAATAGGATGTGTATTTTTTTTTTAAAGATTTATTTATTTGTGCATACAGAACTGGGGTACAGGCCAGAGGCTCAGAGGCAGTGAGAGGCTTCACCAGAGACAGAGCGGGGAGCAGAACAGGCAGATCGATGAAGTACAGGCCAGAGGCTCAGAGGCAGTGAGAGGCTTCACCAGAGACAGAGCGGGGAGCAGAACAGGCAGATCGATGAAGTATACTGCTGAGGGGAGCAGCGGGCGGGTCAGGAGAGGTCTGCCACGCCATGTGGTCACCTCCGGGGCAGGCGGGGATCGAACTCATGCGGAAGTGGCTCCAGATTCTCAGTGCTGTGCTTTTACCTGCTGCGCCACCAGGGAGAGCCAGGATGTGTATTTTTTTTTTTTTAAAAAGATTTTATTTACTTATGCGTACAGAACTGGGGTGTAGGCCAGAGGTGTGGTGGGTGAGAGGATTCACCAGAGACAGAGTGGGGAGCAGAACAGGTAGATCCACTGAAATCCGCTGCTACGGGGAGCAGCTGGGAGACAGGAGAGGTCTGCTGCACCATGTGGGTCAGCTCCCTGGCAGGGAGTGACTCAGAAAGCAGTGGCTTTAGAAAGCTTCATAATGTGGTGCTTTAACTGGTTGCGCCACCAGGGAGAGCCCAGTGTGTGTATTTTTTATACCTTCGTGATTATAAAACCTCAGACTAAATGAAATTTAAAGCTCAGTTAGTCTCCACCAAGCCCAGAACTGGGTCTTATTTTTCCTAATATCTGTTGCAAGATCTAACAAAATAAACAAATCCTAATTTAATCAATCATAGACTCCAATCCAAGTGTCCAACTGAAGCTAGAAAGCAGAATAATATCTATACACTGATAGTGGGAGAAATTTTTGAGGTCATTCTCTCCTAATATCATCCAGCTGTCATGCGTTCCAGAAACTAGTTTTGTTACAGGGCACCCCAGTGTGAACTGGGCTGTCTGTGGGGCCTCACCCACGCGCTTAAAATTCAGTTGTACTGCAGACACACACAAAAGGGTCAATAATGGGTTTATTTACAAAAGGGGAAAGGAAAAGGAAATGACCCAGGGAAAGAGGGAGGGATACAAAGTAACTAGAATATCTTACCCACTTGGGTGACTTGGCGCTTTGGTAACAAACAAACTGAAAGCCCCGAGTCACTCCATCCAGAGAGCCATTTCCCCAGTGAGAGCACCAAAGAAAATGGCGCCCTATTTATCCCCCACAGTCCCAGAATTCCTGCTAGCTCCGCCCTTGGGCCCTCACAGTTCACTCCCTGGTGCTGCTGGGAGTTGTAGTTTCCAATCACTGGAGTAGGGGGTAGAGTCCAGAACGCTGGAGTAGGGGGTGGGGTCCACAAGACTGCAGAGTTCCTTTAGGACACCCTTCCCCTTAACAATTTGAAGTGTGGGATTTTAGAATGTGAACTGCTTACATTACTCCACTGTCTTCCTGTTTTCTGTGATCTTTTAGGTGGTGTTTAAAAGACTGAACTATGTAACTGCCATGGAGAAGAGCATTCCTGCTCTTCTTTACAATCAAGTAGAATTGCAGTTTTGATATCTTACCACTGAATAGTCAATGATGTCACACTTGAGACTTGTTGCACCTGTTTGATGAAAAGAAAAGACTTTGGTTTTATCTTTTCCAGAGATACTACAAGAATGTTTCTTCTAAACAATGGTTTAAAATCATCATTGGGTGCCCGCTTCAGCATCCAGACTATACCAGCACATATACTCAAATCAACATTGGTTTATCATTTAATTTTACTTATTTATGTCAAATTAAACCAATATGCTGCTGATCTTGTCAAGACCACTACAAACACATATTTAAGAGAGGATTTTGACACATTATTCACCATCTTCACTAAGTTCCTTTTGATTATAAGTTGAATACCATTTGTTCTAGATAAAGTTTTATAAATGTATGAATATTAATGGGAGAACAAAACCTCTACATTTTTCCAATAAAAGTGAAAAACCAGTACACTTGGGTTATGACCTTCATAATGCTTCGGTGAGGTTTTCCTTCCTATCATTTTGCATACATGCATGGCATCTCACACATAAAGTCAATACTACAGAATAAAAGTTGTTGCTCTTACCTACTACTCATTTTACATACTATTTTTAATATTGTATTTTTTTAAAAGATTTATTTATTTATTCGTACAGAACTGGAGTACAGGCCAGAGATGCGGAGGGTGAGAAGATTCACCAGAGACAGAGTGGGAAGCAGAACAGGCAGACCGACAAAGTACACTGCTGAGGGGAGCAGCAGGCGGGCCAGGAGAGGTCTGCCACGCCATGTGGTCACCTCCGGGGCAGGCGGGAATCGAACTCATTCGGAAGTGGCTTTAGCTTCTCAGTGCAGTGCTTTAACCCGCTGCACCACAGGGAGGGCCTTTTTTTTTTTTTTTTTTATTGAGGTAACACTGGCGCACAGCACTGCCATGGTTCAGGGGCCCAGGTTCACACCTCTTCAGGTGTGTATTTCCACACCACACCACCGCCAAAGCTCCCACAGTCGTCCACCACAGTCCACTGGGCCTTCACCCCTTTGGGCTGACCTCTCCCACCTCAATTCTGCAGTCCGATTTCTAGGCTTTGTTTTGGTGTAGTTGTGCCTGTACATTTTTTTTGTTTCTCTTTGTAATAAGAATTCTTTTGACAGGGTTGCTCTCCTTAACCTCTTAAGGCTGTACCATATCTGTCCACTAGACCTTCCATGAGGCTTTGCTCTCAGCCCAGAGGGTCTCCTGGTGTCAAATGACACTCCCTACAGGAAGTCTTCCTCAGTCCTCCCAGGCCCCAGGATCTCACTCATCTCTGAACTTTTGTCCAAAAAATTCTCTTTAATATCACCACCTTTCCTGAATTCTTTAAGTTTTTTTTTTTTTGTTCCCATTGTACTACTTGTAAACTCTTTGGGGAGAAGGACGATGTCCTGTACCCCCACCTTGATGGTGCTTCTAACTTTAAAACATTCAGATGATAGTCTGGCTTCTTTGGACATTGTTGAGCTGCTGTCACTGGAAGTCTCTCTGCCCTGTTTAGACGATTACCCACAGGATTGCTGTAGAGAAAATGCAAACTCCCAAAGGCAGAATGGAAAACACTCGCTGATCGCAAGTCTCTGAAAATCTTTCAGTTATAGTAGCGAGCATGGAGTAGGCGTCCAGTAACGGATCGCAGGGAATGAGACGTGAGTTTTGTGCCTCGGCCTTGTGTCCATTATCACTATCCTCCAGTCTCCACCTGCCTGAGGAAGCAGCAAGGGCGGGTCATAGCCTCCACTGTTGGAGTGTCATTGCCTACACACAGACACACACGTCTCGTGTTACTGATGGAGATGCTCAGATTAGAGCGACGAAGCAGCAGATGTCTCAAGCCACGACTGGCACACTCAATTTCAGGTTTACCTCCCTGCCCCAAATCCACATTTCCCGCTATAAACACACAGGGCCTTCTGACAGCGCTTCTGCCCACATCTCCCGCTTAAGCTCTTCTTGCCTCCACTTGCTCACGGATGGCTGCCATCACAAGCCGGGAGCCCGGCTCATGCAGCTGATGGCTTTGATCCTGGTTAATAATAAAAGCCCAAGACAGGACAGCGAGGGCATCGCCCCGTCATCGCTAGCGAGTTGAACTGCTTGCATTCCTCTCTCCCCAAGCATTCATTGAGTGAGCCTGTCCCGCGAGTCCGTGCAGCCTTGGCTTACACCCGTGAAGGGGCTTGACCCCGACCTTTAACAGCGGAGACTGCAGACTGATGTTACTATGAAAGGACAGGCGAGCAGTGCTTGGGAGCACAGCGGAGGAACTTTCGCTCCGAGTCCTTTCCTGAGAGCAGGTTGGAACAGAGGGGCACAGGTCTCATTGACAAAAGGAGTTGCAGGAAGGCAGGAAACTGCGCAGCTCTGTGAAGAGCTGCAAAGATCAGGCAGAGAGATGGCAGGCAACGCTGTGCCATCCTGACGACCATTTTTATTGGGAAGCCCATCAAGCAATTTCTGCGGAGAGCTTGGTCCCTTCCAACGTCGCTCCTTGCTTCTTGACCACCTCTCTTTTCACAGGTAGTGGCCTCTCCGGCCTCCAGCAGAACACGCTCCT